GTGAGATCGGAACAGGGATAGGCATCAATGATCTTCGGACGCTCAGTGCCGCTGTGTTCAATGTGTTTGAGTATATTTTATGGCCATATATATGCGTTGACCGGAATATACCAAGTATGGGTAACTCGGCTGGAGTAGAGGATGGTCTGTCGGAGCGACCTAAAGACAGTGGAGCTCAGACAACATAATGACCTTACTCTCAGACGACCTGGAGGCCAACGACCTGAGGGCATTTGGGTGACATAAGGACCCTTGAACGATCTGGACTATGTCAAATGACCCAAGCAACCAAAACAACTTGACCTGGACTAGTCAACTATGGAACAGACGACCTCGAGGAAGTTCACGGCCTAAAACTAACAGATATCAAGGATAAGAAGGAATCTTAAGAGGATAATGTGGAATCTAAAGGTGATTAGAGGTGATTAGGAGGTGAATAAACACTGAGTATGGGTAGTCGGGAAGGCTGCCCGTGGGCAGTTGGGCAGAACATTTCGAACAGGTATTTCCCTATAAAAGGGCTGAGGTATAACCAGACTCTAACTTTACATTCTCCATACATTATATATTGCTCTAAAATTACAAAACATGATCGTAATCTTCTTCTTTTGTTTGTTGACTTAAGTATCAGAGGTTTTACGTCTAAATCTCCTCCGACGTTTAGTTTCTGCAGTTTGCCCGCGGTGGTACAAGCAGATCGGAGATCTTCTCAACCTATACCCAAGTAGTGACCCATCAGTGTTGATAGGACTTGTTGATATCATTTCCCATTTTCCACGTCGACATAATTAACGGGTAAAACTAGATCGTAACGAGCATAGTACGTAACATGAACAAAATTGAAATTGTTTAAGTAATAAAATCGAGTTGACTATCTTATGTATTCCTTGAGGCCCCCCTTTTCAAACAACCGAGCCAGTAAAAATTGAATGTACTCGACAAATTCCATCAAAACTGGTGTATTCGTTTCGGAATTCGAGTGACATTTAAAGACTTTTTAAGATTTAAGATTTTTGAGGATTTTCAGATTTTAAAAGAATCCTATAAAATACCAAGTCTAAAGGTGGGATTTGTAGTGGGATTTCCTACATGTTTTTTTCTTTAGAAATCCCAGCAAATCTTAAAAAGTCCTTATAAATCCTAACCTTAAATTAGTTAAATACACCTGGATTTCGTAAGACTTTTTAAAATCCTAATTGAATACCTCAAGACTTTTAAAAGTGTTGAGAAATCTAAATTAAATACACTAGGATTTCTAAAGTCCTAAAAAGTTTTTAAAAGTCTTTATAAATCCCAATTAAATACACCCCCCTAATTTCTTGGTGATTAAGAATACTTCTACTTAATGTATTTGAATACATATATAGTTTCGTTAAAGTAAATCAAATCAACCATGAAGCTGGGTCCCTATATTCTTATATATCCTGATTTATTCATTTAATTTGATATTATTGCACTAGATGATCATTGTTGGGCAATTTTCTACGCACAATTGTAGCTTTTTAAATAAAATCCAATTACTCAAATAAACATGTCTCACAAATATCAACAATGACTAGATTATGGCCCTACCTTATATAACTTTATTCTTTTAAGGAGATTAAAGAATTTGTGAATAAAACATAATAAAAAGAAGCTCAAGAACACCTTTAGCTCAAATCTGAAAATATGATTTTGATTTATGTAGAAAATAATTGGATAGTGATTACTGAACAAAGGTCACCTATTTATACATAGCTAGGAACAATCTAGAATGAAGACACCTCAACAATAAAGACAAACAATGATAACAAACTAGAATATGCCAAAATTCTGCACCAAAATGCGGTTGCTTGTACTAGGTGCCCGTTAGCTCTCTTTATCGTGTTGCATGCTCTCATGCAGCACGTCCCTCACGTGCTTGATGGAAGTATCTTGCTGCTGGACTGGATCAATGATTGTTGGAGAGAGTTTGGGCCTCTTGTATTTATTGGATCCATTTATGTTGAGGTGTGATCCACTTTGTCTATCCTCCCTCAATTCGAACATTGTCTAAGGAAGAACATTAAGTTGTGCTCGAAGACGATTGAAGAATTGCCCACTCAGAGGCTTAGTCAGAATATCAGCAACTTGATACAAGGAAGGAACATGTTGAATGGATATTCTTTTGTTGTTGACATGTTCTCTCATGAAGTGCATATCAACCTCCACATGTTTTGTCCTTGAGTGCTGAACAGGATTACTGGCCAAGGAGATGGCTCCTTTATTATCCACCCAAATGATAGAAGGAGTTTTAACTTCAAAATGCAGTTCCTTGGAGAGAGACTGTAACCATAACACCTCACAAGTGACTGAAGCCAAGCTTCTCAGCTCAGACTCTGTGCTAGATCTAGATATCACATTCTGCTTCTTTGAACTCCAAGCAACCAAATTCTTCCTCAAGTAAACATAAAGCCCTGATGTTGACTTTCTATCATCTAAATCTGATGCCCAATCAGCATCAAAAAAGGCAATAATTCTGTCATGAGAACCCTTATAAAATTGAAGTCCATAATTTGATGTTCCACTGAGATACCTTAAGTGTCTTTTCAGGGATTTGAAATGACAGTTGGTACGACTCTGCATGAATTGATCAACTGATTGACACTAAAAGTTATGTTTGGTCTGGTTATACTGGCATATCTCCAATCAAACTTTTGTAGTTATAACCATCTACAACAGGATGTCCTTCAAATTTTGACAGAGGTGTTGTCACCATTCGTGTGCTAAGTGGTTTATTGTTTTGCATCTTGGCCCTCATCAACATTTCATGAATATAACTTCTCTGAGAGAAGAGAATTCCACTTTCATTTTTTATTACCTCCAGACCAAGAAAGTAACTTAACTCTCCCAAATTTTTAAGAGAGAACACTTTGGAAAGATCACTGATGGCTTGTTGAATGTAGTGATTATCACTTTCTGTTATAATGAGATCATCAACATAAGTGAAAATGAAGGTGGAGGACTTTCCCTTATGTCTGTAAAATAGAGATGAGTCAGCCTTAGATGTTTGAAAGCCAAGAGATTCAAGAACAACAGACAATTTTGAGGACCAAGCTCTAGAAACTTCTTCAACCCATAGATTGATTTGTTCAGTTTGCATACAAGAGGTTTTCCAGATGAATCAAGCATTTCAAAACCTGATGGTTGTTCCATATAGAGATCAGTATCCAGCACATCGTATAAGAAGGCATTATCAATATCAACTTGTCTAAGGTTCCATGAATTGATCAAGGCAATAGCGAGAATGGTTCTGATGGTAACTGGCCTTATGACAGAGCTGTATGTATCTGTATAATCAAAACCAGGCTGTTGAGAATATACATTGGCTACTAGTCTAGCCTTGTGTCTAGCCACAGTTCCATCAGTATTCTTTTTCACTTTGAATACCCATCTACTTTCAATAACATCTTTGTGTTTGGGAGGTTTACACAGAGACCAAGTTTTGTTTCTCAAAAGTGCATCATACTCTTTCTTCATGGCCTCTTTCCACTCTGGAACTTCAAGAGACTCACTTGCATCTTGGGTTTCTTCTATGTTAATCTTCTCTTTTCTTCTCTTTTTTTCTGGTTTGCAATGAGTAGGTCTTTGGTTTGTGTATTCCTGCTTTTGACCTACTGATCATGGGGTGAGTATTATCCTGCAAAAGCTCATTAGTATCTTGACAAAGGTTAGAAACAGTTTGAACTTCATCATTTCTTTCTATTGGTAATTCTATAAAAATACCTCTAATAGGAATACATGAAGAGGGAGTAGAGTTTCTGGTTTGACTGTGATCTAAAGTTTTAGATTGATTAATAGGAGATCCATGGTCTGAAGAATCAGTGTTTGTGTTGGTTGACAAGGGCTTGGTAGGTAAGGTGATAGATGATTAGTAAATAAGTTGAGGATTCCCAGTGTTAGGGGGATGAGGGTTTTGTTTTTAGACATATAGAAAGGAGTTTTAATCAAAGAGAATATGTCTGGTGATGATCACTTTGCCATTAGGAAGAAGGGCTTTATATCCCTTGTATTGTTGACTGTAACCAAGGAAAATTGAGGGCTGAGTTCTTGGTTCAAGTTTGTGTTTGTTACAAGGTCTTAAATAGGGAAAACATAAACAGCCAAATACCTTGAGGTGAGTGTAGTCTGGCCTCTTTCCTGTCAACATTTCCAATGGTGATTTGTATCTGAGAATTTTGGATGGAAGTTTGTTTATCAGAAAGATAGCTGTGAAGAAAGCATCATCCCAATGTTTATGAGGAAGTGAGACTGAGATAAGAGGGATAATCCTGATTCAACTATATGTATGTGCTTCCTCTCAACAAGACCATTTTGTTGAGGGGTGTAAAGGCATGATCCTGTGAGCAATCCCATTTTTGAGGAAAATTTGTGAAAGAGCTTTAAAATCAGTCCCCCTATCACTTTGCACTATTTTTATCCTTTTGTTAAACTGATTCTCAACCAGGTTTTTGAAATAGAGAAAGGCATCATGTGTGTCAGATTTGGCTTTTAGAAGGTAAATCCAAGAGT